CTCTCCCTTCAGGGTAAATGCCTTCCCCCTCTGGTACACTACATGAGAGATCACAGGATAACACTTAGTGCCCAACTATTGATATTTGGGACCATCTTGGTCCACAGCCCTGCCGTCCACCTCAACAGACCCAGGCTGCGACAATACTTCCCATTCCATTCATGTTCTCTCTTCTACATGCGGGAGGCCTCCTGCCAGCTGATCCTACCAGCCCCTAGTCAGAGGGTGCAACCTACATTTCTGTTCAAGACCCCTGTTAAAATGATATTAAGAGCCTTACAAAAATATAAGACTGGAATTAACATCCACACTTACATGCAGCTTTATGTAATTCTCTAATTTTTTGTAATTTAAACTAATTAAATAATAAACTATAAATATATAGTTTATTTATAAATAATAAACTAATTACTTAAATTAATTTAAGTAACTAATTTAAAAGTCTCGTTATATATTTTTTCATAATTGAGTATTAGCAATGAAGGCTATCCTGAAAGTAATCCAAGACGGAATTCCCAGAGGTCCAGGTAAAACAGCTAGAAAATGTGAGTGCAGATAGGTGGTTGTGATGACAATAATTCCATGGTATTTGCAAGGATGTCTCCAAGCTGGGTTACTGGGAGGGTGGTGAAAATGCAGATTTTCCAAAGGGGCATCGGCAGGAGGAGGGGTCGTGGGGAAGTAGACGAGGCAGAGGCTCCCATGAGCAAGCCTGGTCCTACCCCCGTGCCTCCTGCTTGACCTCCTTAGTGATTGCTGACCACCTGGCAATGCTTCTGAAGCAGCAGGTAGCGCGAGACACAGGGAAAAATTGGGACAAACTCCTGAATGACAGGTTTCCGATGGTTCAGAAATGGTCACTGCCCAAGGGTCTACAGATCCTCAATCCATCTCATTCCCCAAGTCTAATGAGGCAGCTTTGGGAATCCAAAGCTTTGCAGTCTGCTCCTGCCTATCTCACTTCAGAGTGTGTGTTCCCTGTGTTACATAGTGATTCAGCCTCAATGGAATTAGATGCTTTCAGAGCTCTGTTTTTGATATTTCCAACCCACCTAAGCCAATTACTGAGGCTTGGAGCAGACCTCAGAGCCTGATGCTGTGAATGACAGGTGGCACACTGGTCTCAGTGACAGGACAGCAGAGCTTCTTGGACTGCTGGCTGAGAACTGAGGCTGAATCATAACCTTGAGACTTCATTTCCTCTCTTGGGAAGTATGATGTATTCTCTCCTTCCTGTGTTTGAGATATTCATCTTCAACATCACAGAAATAACAGGAACCATAAAATGAAACATAAAAATGTAAAGGGTAGAGAAAGCCCTGTGATCCCTGGGGCAGACGACGCAGCTGCATCTTGTGCGATATTTACGACTTCTGCTGTGTGGAAGCCACACGTTACTCCAGAGTCCATCCCTCCAAACACATACTGAACATTGACCTTACTCTCAGTCCTGGGGAAGACAGTCATGAAACCGACTCAGCTCCAGAAACCCAGCTTCAGACAAGTTTGGGTCAGAAGGAAAATGAAGATCTGTTTCCCACTTGAAAATTGAAAAGAAATGAGGCAGCTTCACCGTCTCTGGCCTAATATTCGAGCAGAAAGCCACTACAGTAAGCAGGGCATGGACTTTCAGTCAAGCAAAGCCATGTTCAAACTCCATCTGTATCGCTTATAAGCCAGGTATCCTAGATAGCAACTTCTCTGAGCCCTACTTCCTTACCTATAAGAATGAGGACAGTGTCATCTCATCAGTCAGGCTGTGACGATTGGCAGCCTGACCAATGAGTACCTATTTACTGAGTACCTATTATACATTACAAACTAAGTCAGTCAGGTGCTAGATTAAAAAGTGATTCGCTCAAATAATGTTAGTTCCTATTCACTCTGTGATTGTTAAAGATACCTTAGAGTTTTTTTGTTTGTCTTTGTTTGGTTTTGTTTGTTTTCAGTTTCCGGGACTGCAAAGGAAAAGAGGATTATTATTCCTTGGATTTGAATAAATCATGTCTTCCTCTCCAGACAAATCTGACATATCTAGTTTCAACAAGTCATACAGCTAAATGTCCTATATTTCCTGAGATAATTTTCATTTCAAGTAACCTCTTACGATACTTATAAGTACCCTTGTCCTTGTCATCAACCATATATTCATCCATCAGATATTTATTAATCACTTTCTATGGGGAAGATAAAATTTCAGTCCAAAATGGTGACTCAGACTTAATGCCTGGCCTCATGGAAATCTTTTTGGCTCTGGAAACATATCCCATGGAATCAAATCCCAGGTATCAGCCCCATGGCAGCATCAGCATCGTCAAGAGAACACTGCAATTCATCCCTCTCAAACCAAGGTTGTAATTTTCTGCTCTGCAGGAAGCTGGGGTCACTGCGTGACCTCAGTAACTTGAGGTTAAAAACCAATTAGTCATAATCCCACAACTATTTAACTGAGCTTAAAACAGTCTCTAGTCACTGAAAAATTCCAAATTCACCTATTCCCTCTACTCACTATTGAGCATCTGGCTTGAATTTTTGCCTCACATGACCACTAGGGGGCGTTTAATCCCCAACTATATTCTTAAACACTGGTTCTGAGAATGGTGTTGGTATACCATCCGTACCTGTGGGGAAGAGGCGCAGGTGGAAAGCCTGTGAGGCTCAAGTGAAATTTCAGCAGACTGGAACTGAAAATAGGACAAAGAGGGTAAATTCAAGTATCATTCTTAAAAAGTAGTGAGTTATTTATAAATCACTGCTCAAACCTAAATGTAGTCCATGAAACTAAGAAAGGAGATAAACCAAGTTTTATTTTGTGTGTACCATGCATCAGTCACTGAGTTAGAAATCTCCATTTTTGTCATCATATCTATCCATCACAAGTATCCTGAGACAGATTTTATTTTTGTCTTCATTTTATAAATGAGAAAACAGGCTCAGAGAGGTTATCATTTACTGATGTGTCACACATCTAGCAAGTAGTAAAGAATCTGATTCCAAATCAGGCTGGTTTGAATGCCTACTCAGCTTTCTACTAAATGGCTCACTTGACTGTGATGCTCAAATGCCTCTAAACTTGTTTCCCCCATTCCTATTGTCATAATTCTCCAAATCCTCGTATTACCCTGGGATGCGTGTGTGTTTAGGTGTATGTGCAAGCATGGGTTTAAGTATACTATGAATAAGTGATCCTACAACTATGTAATTGTTTTCATATTTAATGACCTTTGTACAACTTGATGAAACAGGGCTTAATTTTGGCTGGGTATAATTTATACAATCTACATGTTTTAGTCTCCTTTGTAGTGCCAACGCTTTATACTAGAGACAATTCACTGATACTGAATGAATTAACAAATAAATAAACATGGCTCTTGGAAAGCAACAGTAGGGAACTTCTCTCATCTGGAAATTTCCTGGAGCCAGTGACTTAAGGTTGAGATTGTCTTTCAATAGAAAACTCCAAAGCAGAAGGAGTGGACCTGATTTCACAGGATTTGTTCAACCTGCTCCATACACATCATCTAATCCCAAGGAGAACAGACCCTGACCTGTTCACAGAGCACCCTGGGACGCCCAGCCCAAAGCACAGTTACTGCAAGCTCCTAAGAAAAGGCTCAGCCGAGCCAGCACTGACTGCTCCAGCCCTCCTGAGTCACTGATACAACTAACTGGCAAGTCTGAAATCCTTAAAGGATATAGCAGGCTGGAAACTTAGGCTTGTCCCACAAGGAATTTTTGAGGAAGCATTCCTTCTTCTCTGAGAAACCTCGGCTTTTGCTCTCAAGGCTTTCAACTCATTGGTTGAAGTCCACCCATATTAGGGAGGGTAATCTGCCTTTATTTAAAGTCGAGTGATTGTAGATGTTGATCACATCTATAAAATACCTTCACAACAACCACCTTACACTAGGGTTTGACCAAACAGCTGGGTCCTCTAGCCTGGCCAGGTTGACACATACAATTTTACCATCACAAGGGGTTTCTTCAGGCTCTTCTTACCATCTTCTCCAAACAGAAGCACTTCTCATCCCAGTCTTAGACGTGTGCATTCTTACCAGGATTCTGCCCAGACCTTTTGGGCTGAAGTCTCTTGGCTTCTGATTTCCGACTTGCCTCTGGATCCCCTTGGCTCCCTGTTCCTCACCCACAGCTCAGCCCACCCCGTCCTTACGTCCAACCCATCCTGTTGCCCCGGGCTTCTGCTTATTCTGGGCTATGGACTTTAGGTAGATGGAAAGTTCCATTTGAAGGAAGAGTGGAAAACTTTTTATGAAGAACTTGACATTTTAAATGAGTAGCATTCCTGCTTTTTTCATCTTTACTAATTATACACTATTCAGTGGAACTTTAATATTACTATATTATATAATTCTGTCAAAGGAGAAATAGTAAGATAACCCATAATCACACTACCCTAAAATAACCACGCTTAACATTTTAGTATACTTCAGTCTTTTCCCTGCATGTATAATTTTGCAGAGTTGTAATCACACCCAACATACAATTTTATTATGTTTTTCCATTTACCATTATATTATAAGCATTTTTAATGTTGCCACATAATCTTCATGTCTGTCATTGTTAATAGCTACATAATAGTTCACTGAATTGAAGTGCTTTATTTACTTAACTATCCTATTATCTTTCAACAATTTCCAATTTCTTCTTACAGTAAATATGCGTAGTGATTGTAGTGCTCTTTTTCAAACTTAGAATTCTTTCACATAGGCTTAAAATTGTTTGGCAAGAATACTGTGTATACATTTTTATCTCTTGACATATATTTCCAAATGGATCTTTTTAAAGGTTGCATCAATTTACACTGCTGCCAGTGTAAATAAGGACCACTGTGTCTTTGTTCTCTTGAGAGTAGAGCTTTGACAGGTGGGGATAGGAGCCCAGGAGGAAGACATTTCAACACCAAAGCCTGAGCCTTGCATTCTGTAAAGTACCCTGATCCTCACTGATACACCAGTTTTGTGTTGCTTTGTTTCTCACAGACTGAGCAGTTGATAACTCTGTGGGTCCTCTTCGTTTTTACCATTGTTGGAAATGCCATCATGCTGTTCTCTACACTGAGAAGGAAGAGGAAGTCGAGAATGACCTTCTTTGTGGCTCAGCTGGCCATCACAGGTACATAACTGCAGTGTGTGCAGAATTCCAATGGCTCCTCACTTTCAATTATTTTACCAATAGAACTGGTGTATTATCAGTCCAAAATGCAACCGCAAATTTGGGAGAAATCTCTTTAGGGATATAAAGCTCAAATTTGAATTTTTCTTCCAGCAAATTTAACATATTTAAATATTTATAAGATTCCATTATAAAAATAACTCCTTATACAACAAACTTGAAAATATCATTATCAGTGCTACCAAAGCATTCTAAAGAGTTCTACTTTCCCTATAACAGCAGCCTCCATGGTTCACTAAGGTGATATTACCATATCATACCGTCTTATGAGCTTAAAGACTATATCCCAGAAAATAGAGTAAAGGGTAATTAGGATCACCGAGTAAATGCAAAATTCTTGGATGAGGGTATAATAACTTTCTTTCACCATATTTTTTCAATTACAGTGTTATAATCCACATTCTACAAAACTATGTGTTCTTCTAAAGTGTAAGAATTTAGAGGTGGTAAGGATATCAGCTTAGAATTTAAAGTACTGTCAAGAATAATAATAAATGAACAACTGAAATTTCACCATCTGTTGTCAAAAAGAAGAGTTGCATGTTCTAGTCAAATCCATAGTCTGCTGTGTTAACCTGGGCTTAATTTCTCACGAATGTTCTAGATAGTCTAGATAGTCTAGATAAATTAATTTGTTAATTCCCTCTGGAAAAACTCAAGGGGTCAGATCAGGAGCATTTCAACTGAAGAATTCTTGGAGAGAGAAAGTTTGCCTAGAGTCTGAGATTAGGCTAACTTCTTATTTAAGGTGTTAAAATTTCCTTCATACACATTTCACCATGATCTCAGATCCTGTAGTAAGCGATTTGAGAATACATATCTGAGTCTTTAGTATGTATAAAAAGGTTACTCTGGTATCAGCTGAAGGATCCTATTCTTTCAGATTTACATAAATTTGATTTGAGTCCCCTATCCTAGGCTAATGGCCTCCCCAAGATTTCTTCAAATTTTCTGGACTTTATATTTTTAGTCATCACTTCTGGTTCTTACTTGCTAACTCTGCTGAACCTTTGCTCTCTTTTACAGGAATCTCACCTTCCCTAGTCTTTTTTTTTTTCTTTTTAAGCCATACTGACCCTAACAGGGCACTCAGCTCCCCTTTCTTTTATATTCTTTAAAATCATCCACAGAAACATAACTTTCTATGTTTAAAAGACTTTGTCAAATGTTTCTGGCAACAGAGGGAGATTGCATTATAGCAAAGCAAATATATTAAAATTGAATATTATATATTTTTGAAACTTTCAGCTACAACCAGTTGTGTCTTTGACTCTCCAATGTTGTTTTATAGGATAACCAAATTTTTTCACATAAACATATTCTTGAATCATCAGATTCAACTGACATCATCAGTGACACACATATTTGGAAAATTAAATTCAGAGACATTAATTCTTGGCTCTTCTGATAGAGAAAAATAAGCGTTAACAGTTATTACTGGGTAAGGCAATATTAATGCCCTTCATTAAATAATATTTTCCATCATGACTCACCTCCTAAGAGCAGCTTCCTACTTACAGGCTGGTATCCTTGAGTGATTCTTTAAGGAATATTTTGATTTCCATTTAGTAGGTGAATCAATTGGAGTCAGATTCATCTGCACATCTATAAAATCCAGATAATGGTGGCTTAAGTTTACATGGATTTATTTTCATCTATGTAAACAATTCTGGAGGTAGACGGTCCAGGGCTCATATTTTATTTTCTTATCACTGGGGTCTCAGGCTCCTGTATATATATTTTTACTCTATTAAAGGATTTTCATACTCAAGGTCACCTCATGGTATGGATGGCTCTTGGTTCAAGGTGGCTGCTAGAACTCCTGCCATCATCCCCAGATTCTAGTCTAACAGAAAGGACGAGAGGAGGAAGGACAAGAGGGGCTCATGCCAGATATGTGTCCTCTTAACTGGCATTCCTAGAACTCCCATCCATTCATTTTTGCTTGCATCTCATTTGTTATCTCTAACTGAAGAAAAGCTGGTAAATGTTTTTGTTTGTTCATTTTTAACCCATTGGCCAGAATAAAATCAAGCTTCTTTTCCTAAGGAAGAATGAGAGAACAGAGATAAGTAGCAGTCTCTGGCATAGCTTGCCTTCCATATTTCAGTTTCCATTGAGAACTGAGAAGTTTAGACAATGAATCTCTGTTTGACTACCCATTTGACTGCTTTGAAGGTGCTTCCTCCAGAGTGACATGCTTTCTTCTTTACACCTCATGTCTTGGAAGGCCAGCACTTCGCATGTTGTCCAAACACTGCAGTGACCCATTGGATGACTGCCCCATTAAGTAGATAAACTCCTATTGTTGACTATTCACATAACCTCCCCCCCCCACCCAGTTTTTAGCTATTATTAGCAATTCTGCAATGAATATTCTCACAATTAAACCTTGTGAGCATTCTTTATAATTTATTTAAGAAAATTTATAGACATGAACTTACTGCATCAAAAGAAGACACTTTTGTGAGCTTCAAACTGGCCAATGTCCTGTTAGGTCACCCAGGATTAAAAGGTGATGAAAAATGTCATGGGACAAATGCTCTAGAAGCTACCAACACAGATCCACACTGAGTCTTGTTTAAAAAGGACCCTGAAAACAAAAGCCCTACTGGCTTGCAATAGTTATAGAATCATGACCAGTTCCTTGAGGACACGGATTCTCTTTGTTCGCCTATAAATGTTCTATCTGTACCTACTCAAGTCTAATTTGCTTATTTTAAAAAGGAGCATTTTCTTCCACCCTAGCCAGTGTATCAGAGAAGAAGCCACACCTAATTTGGCCTTTCTTTCCCCCACAGTAATTATAGCAGCACTCGTATTTGTGAAAACAAAGAACACATCATTTACAAGACATTTGAAGAATTGTTTTTATTTTGCATCTGTATATTTTAATTCACTTCCCTCTTCTCCACATTTCTGATCCCTTCAAAAAATGTTACCTAATTCTTCTCTATATCTTCCATTAGGAATTTTAACTGTAGGTTTAGTCTTGAGAACGGAAGGAAACCAGAAGTTCTTAAAGCTGCTATTTTGGCATATTCTGCCATTCTTAGCACTTCCATTTTAACAATCTATTGGATGAATTTAATGACTGTTTATATTTTATGAGCTAAAGTGCCAATTAAAATTTATTAGTCATTTATCATCTTCAAGACTGACTTGTCTGTTTTATTCAAATGTCATAAAGAAGGGGAGCTAATGAGAGTAACTCCCATTGAGTGTTCAACCAAGGAAAGACAGAAAACATATATTTTTTGGCACATATTCAAATAACGTCCTTCTTCTGATAGGACCAAATCTCACATTGGTGGAAATTAGCTCTGCCTCAAAGCACTTTCTGGAGAGCAATTTACTAATAAACGAAGGTATGTGCCACCCTGAAAGCCTTCCTGTTAATTATCTGACAGCAGAGAAAATTGAGAGGTTCAGGCAGGGAGGTGAGACCAGGAAGACTGAGGTATTCAAGGCCATCCATGGAGTTCACTACCACTTCCAATGCTAATTTCACTCACTTTTTCCCTGGGGTTTTGAGTTGTATACTCAGTTCATTTATTTATTTTAATTCTGCTCATTCGTTTTTTAAATATTTTTTCAGCTTTATTGAGATAAAGTTGACATAGACTATGTATAAGCTTAATATGTACAAAGTAATGATATGCTGTATGTACCTATTGCAATAAATTCAGTTAGCATCCATCACCTCACATAGTTACAATCTGTGTTTGGCGGGGGAGGGGAGTATGTTAAGAACTTTTAAAATCTACTCTCTAAGCAACTTTCAAATATACAATACAGTATTGTTAATGACGGTTGCCATGTTGTACATTACATCCCCAGAACTTATTCTTCTCATAACCAGAAATTTGTTCCATTCGACCATCTTCACCCATTTCCCCCAATCCCCACCTCTGGTAACCACCAATTTGTCCTCTGTTTCTATGAGTTCTTTTTTTTTTTTTTCTCTTTTCAGATTCCACATATAGCATTTGTCTTTGACATTTCATAATGCCTTCAAGATTCATTTATGTTGTCACAAATGGGAGGATCTCTTTCTTTTTATGGTTGAATAATATTCCATTGTGTATGTGTACCATGTATTCTTTTTTTATAAATTTATTTATTTTATTCATTTATTTTTGCCTGCATTAAGTCTTCGTTGCTGCGTGTGGGCTTTCTCTAGTTGCGGCGAGCGGGGGCTACTGTTTATTGCAGTGCACGGGATTCTCACGGAGGTGGCTTCTCTTGTTGCGGAGCGTGGTCTCCAGGCGCGTGGGCTTCAGTAGCTGTGGCGCTCGGGTTTAGTTGCTCTGCGGCATGTGGGATCTTCCTGGACCAGGGCTCGAACCTGTGTTCCCTGAATTGGCAGACAGATTCTTAACCACTGCGCCACCAGAGAAGCCCTATACCATGTATTCTTTATCCATTAATCCACTGATGAAAACTTAGGTTGTTTCCATGTTTTGGTTATTGTATATAATGCTGCCATAAACATGGAGGTACAGATACTTTGAAGATAGAGATTTTATTTCCTTTGGATATATATACACAGGAGTGAAATTGCTGGATCATATGGGAGTTTTTAATTTCTTAAGGAAACTCCATACTGTTTTCCATAGTGGCTACACCAATTTACCTTCCCACCAAAAATGTACAAAAGTCCCCTTTTCTCCACATCCTCACCAACACTTACCTCTTGTCTTTCTGATAATAGCCATTCTAACGTTTGTGGTGATAACTCTTTGTGGTTTTGATTTGCGTTTCCCTGGTGATTAGTGATGTTGAGTATCTTTTCTTTTACCTGTTGGCCATTTGAATATTTTCTTTGGAAAAATGTCTATTTATGTTCTGTGTCCATAATTTAAATGGATTATTTCTATTTTGGCTATTGAGTTGTATGAGTTTCTTATATATTTTGGATATTAACCCCTTATCAGATATATTGTTT